CTATATGTTATGTATACTACCCGTCAAAGGTTCAGACTCAAAGCACTAACTGTATGTAAAGCACTAACTATATGTTATGTATACTACCCGTCAAAGGTTCAGACTCTCATAAAGCACTAACTGTATGTTATGTATACTACCCGTCAAACCCGGTTCAGACTCATGTAAAGCACTAACTGTATGTTATGTATACTACCCGTCAAAGGTTCAGACTCACGTAAAGCACTAACTATATGTTATGTATACTACCCGTCAAAGGTTCAGACTCACGTAAAGCACTAACTATATGTTATGTATACTACCCGTCAAAGGTTCAGACTCACGTAAAGCACTAACTATATGTTATGTATATATATATATATATATATATGAATATGAATATGTATGTGTGTGCTTACTTCGAAGATGAATTTATCCACTAACTTGGGGGAACCAACTTCAAACCTTATGCAGATGAATTGCACGAGGACCATGCATCAAATTGCTGAAAAGCATGTACAAATATCGTGCACGTGAACAGCTGCGTTTTGATGTTAAGTTTTGTTAAGAATTCACCAATTTTCACTGAGTTACATCATTTTTTGAACTCATTACGATAATATTTTCAACGTTACGAATTTGTTTTACAATACATCAGTTCATGTGTAAACAGTGCCTTTAAACAGTAGGGAATATTTTGCAAAATCTAGTTTAGAGGGGCGGTAGGGTAGCCTAGTGGTTAAAGCGTTTGCTCGTCACACCGAAATCCCAGGTTCGATTCCCCACATGGGTACAATGTGTGAAGCCCATTTCTGGTGTCCCCCGCCGTGACATTGCTGGAATATTGCTAAAAGCGGCGTAAAACCATAGTCACTCACTCACTCTAGTTTAGAACGTTGACTGAAGTAAGTGGTTACATTTACACTAGTGAGTCTAAACTTTTGCTGGGTAGTATATATAATAATAATAAATAATAATAGGGATATTTATAAAGCGCCAGTGTCCACCCACAAATGCATGCTCATGGCGCTGAGTACTTATGTACAAGGAGAAATGAAGAGTCACTGGATATATATAGCGCAACGTGATGCCTGAAACCGAGTTTGCAAACATGAAGTGATCGCCGAAACGTGTACTATTTGTTTGCCTCAGAGAAAGGTCGGTTATTCGTGGTCGTGACCTGCGTGGGGCGTGATACAAATTCTTATCACGTGTTGTGGGAACACCATCTCTAAGGGATTCACTCAAAACTACGAAATATCTTTTATGTTATTTTAGACGTACATTTGATTATTTCAATACATTCATAATATCACAAGTAATAACTAATAACTGAGACGACTGGACCAAAAGGACTAGGTTACACATCACAGCTATTCCGAAGTCAAAGATTTAGAAGGAAACGTTTTGATACGACCCCTTCATGATGTACACGCAGGTGACACTACTTTGAACCTCTTCCCATGCTTTTTGGAAATACAAATTTCCGTCACTCGCAGTGGCTGTGCATTGTCTGTTTCAAGATTAGATATTAACAATTTTTCTTTGCGAAAGACTTGGTATCTGACTGTTATTACCGCATCGGACTCTATACTCAGTATTTTCCCTGCGGTTGTGCTACTACGCTGTTGCTGGGGGTGGGGGGTTTAGCCTAGTAGTTAAAGCGTTCGCCCCTTATCCCGAAGATAGGGGTTTGATTCCACACATGGATACAATATGTGCAGCCTATTTCTGGGGTCCCAGGCCGTGATATTGCTGGAATATTGCTAAAAGCGGCGTAAAACTAAAACTCACTCACTCACTTATGCGCTGTTGTATTCTTTAAAATAATCATTTTCAATTTTTTAATATGCATATCATACGCCATATCATCTCATACGTCATATCTTAAAAAATTATATATTTGCTGTTCTTTCGGCATAAATGTACATTTTCAACACAGTAGGAGTGATATAGTCGCATGTTAATGGCTTGTCCCGGAATTTTTGAAGCAATATATTTGTGCACAAGATTACCAAGCCCCTAGATGCTTTTACAAACTGATGCAAGTTACGGATGAATAGACATAATCACATTTAACAACAATTCTTTTCAATTTAGAAAAAATAAGATATAACTTTATTATCCCGGAGGAAATTCTTATTGTATCAAAACGGCCTCAAAAATGAATATATACAAAATCCACAAAATATACACAATAATTACATGCACAAAATGAATGCTGATGATTCCATACAATTGACCACATAGGTAAAGAGGCTGAGTCAGTAGGTATCGCATGCATGATGACTATTCAAAAAACATTTGTTGAATTAATAACACGAATACTGGATGGTGTGGTATATTTCATATACAATAACAATCTCGATATGAAACATAATATGTGTCATGGTCCGAAATAGCCACTGGCCCGCTAGCCCGTGGCTAATAAATATCTAGTCGGGCCAGCTGTAAATCTCCAGTCACTGGCTCGACTGGCGAGTGAATTTTCATGGGGGATTTTGTAAAATATATCGCTCTCTCCGACTAGTTAAGTTATACTACACTTTTAAATCATGCAAGATTACGGCCTGGTAGAACTGTTCATCATATTAGCAGATTAATGATGAAACCCGTTTCATGCCGACAATATCTTATTCTCATCTATTTTTGTAATCTTTTACTTAGTTTCTACATTCAAATTTCGGACTGGTGAATTATTTTGTGGGCTAATAACTTTCAGGCATAGCTAGCCCGACTGGCTGGCAAACCTTGGAAACTATTTCGCACACTGATATGTATGTGAAGTTTGATTTAGAGTTATCTACTACAGAGTCAATGTTGTCGAAAACTGATGTTGTTTTTCCACATCATAATCAGTGTGCGAAATGTACGCTGGTACAATGGTTGTTCTCTTTTATGAGTATATCCCAGTGCCAATATTCCAGACCGCGAGAGGATATATATCACACGATCACGCACTTGAACGCAACTTGATCTCCTCATTACCTCCATAACAATTATTGTTAAATCGCCCTTTCAAAACCAATCGATTCTCTTCATGGTAGGTACCAGAGAACGAGTGATTGTGAGCGTGTGAGAAGGGTTTAGACATTTAACGATGTCAATGCCGTACAACGGCGCTCACACCAATCAATGGCATTCACACGAGTGAATTCAGATAGACGGTGATTGAGTCAAAGTGTAGTCATGGGCCTGATCGAAATATATCAAATATTCTAACCTTTTCAACTGCAAGAGGTGGGCTCAAAGTAATGCGGGTCACAGACGTTCGCGTCTTTGATGAAGGGAATCCGTGTTGTTTAACCTAGGAGTGAGTGAGTTTAGTTTGACGCCGCACTCAGCAACATCCCAGCTATAATAATCTAGTCTGGACCAGACAATCCAGTGATCAACAGCATGAGCGTAAAAAGCAACAAAATCCGTTCCATACTCACAAGAAATATCTGCTAAAAGCAGTTTCCAATGCACAGTTGTATCATGAGTGCGAGGTTGGAACCACTATTAAATAACGAATGACACCCACCGAAGACACTGATCACAAACACATGCAGAGGCAAATCAATTGTTCACCTGAAAAATAGCACGGAAACCCATGAACTGCGTACCCTGATGCAACAAAATGAACTAATTTCAAAAAGACCTTTTCAGGTCAACAATGTCATTTTCAAATAAAGGTTGCCCAGTACATTCTAAAATCTATTAATTTTTTATCATAAACGAGAAAACGATGTACATACAATGCAGATCGAATTATTGAATCCTTGTCCAACTGCTATTCAAATTCTAAGCTTTCACATACATTAAATGTTATCAATACTATTGCTTATATTACATTTCTGCAATGATTGCACTACACAGATGTTTCAGTGATTAGGAATGTATTTTTCACGGTTACAATCCCTTACATATATGGAATGTAAACGATTGCTCCGTACATCAAAAACTGTCGCACGCGGTGTTGTCGGTGTTTGCCGAACTGGCCTCAATCACAAGTTGCGTAATAGGATATTCAATAAGAGCGTTCCAAGGTACGTAACTCTATGGGGTTCGCTTGAAATAAAGTTCGGTCGGTAGAGGGCGCGAGAGTCGATTTAATGCAACGTTGCATTATTTCATTCGAACTTTTTAATTTCATATTGTAATCTTGATACGTAATAGTTTTCGGAATAAAGTATATGTTAGCTTCGCTAGGGGCTGATAGTTAGTATTAATGAGAGAAATGATATATTGATTTTTAGGGAAGAGTGGCGTGATAGTGTGCCTTTAACGCCCATAGAGCACTCTACATGTACCTGTACTCCGGACAAGCTGCGTGACACAGATATTGATTACCTAACGATGAGTGCAATATGATGCTATTACACATGTACGACATATGTTACATACGAGACGTGTTTAAGGTCACGTACTGTGTAACTGTCAACCAATTTATGTTTGTAAATAAGCTAGCGAATTTTTTGAAGCGCTAATAAAATATATCTGTCATTAGCGAGAGGTACACGTGCTCGGTTGTGTTCAGTCCATAGCAAAGCGGCATGGGTTGTTTACGACGTCTTGTTAGTGAGTGAGTTTAGTTTTACGCCGTACTCAGCAATATTCCAGCTATATGGTGGCGGTCTGTAAATAATCGAGTCTGGACCAGACAATCCAGTGATCAACAGCATGAGCATCGATCTACGCAATTGGGAACCGATGACATGTGTCAACCAAGTCACCGAGCTTGACCACCCGATCCCATAGTTGCCTCTTACGACAAGCATGGGTTACTGAAGATCAATATTCTAACCCGGACCTTCACGGGTCTACGACGTCGGAATTCGCTGTGTAAAGTAGCGTCGATTTTCATAGCAGGATTACTAATCGTGGGTTCGAATCCTAGACTTGGTTTCTCCACACGATACACGAAAAAACACCTAACTGCTCCCTGAACTTTCGTTTTATCAGTGATGTACCTGCTAAAACAACAATCCTTTCTGCACAGGTTGTGTATTAATAGTATTTTTAATTTCTTGTTTCAGACCGCGTGCTACAAGTTCACCCTGTTCATCGTGGCGGTGACACTGGCGTCGCTCATCGTGTCATGCGTCGTCGTGGTTGTCTGTAAGTATTATTAAGTACAAGCTGAAAAACAGTCACAACTGTTTGAAGAAACATTATCCACCTAAACAATTTCTGGCAAGTTACCTTGTATGTCCGCGTGGTGGGCGAACTGTCTAAGGCGCTAGGCTAGTGATCTAGCGAGCTCGACGTGCCGAGATCGAGCCCACCTGTGACCGGGTCTATAAACCTAGGAGTAAACTTTGTGTGCAGACTCTTCCAGTGTTGTCACAACCCCTAGTGTACAGTACACAACCCTGTGCACTTAAAAGAACCCACGAAATTACCCAATGGTGGCCACATGAATACGTGCAAACACCTAGTTGCGGTACAGCAACGTGCAGTAAAACTTGTGACTATGTGTCCCAGTCCACCCAGCTGTGAATGGGTACCTCGTGAGGGTGGGAAAGCAAGAGTTGTATACTACCCAGGAAGTTAAGATTGATAATACAATGATCGAGGGACATCTAATGATCGAGGGGAAAAAAACAAAGCGCTGAGCTGAGCTGGATATTGGCGCCATAAAAAATCAAAATAAAAAATACATGTAAATAAATATATAAATAAATAAATATGTCAGTTGCGATCAATCGCTAAGTTCTAATAATACAATGTCTGGGAAATGCGAAATGTATGCATGTCATGACAACCACTGAACATAGCTACTTGGCCCAGTTGGCCTTAATGTAGTAGTCAGTCAATAACATGAACGATATACCTTTACTTCTATGAAATATACGTTCTTATCCATATTTGTAACATGCATTTGGCATTAAAGTACATATTGATTATATACTGAGCAAAAAAAGAAACTTCACGTGTTACTTTATGTCCCGAATATACCCATAGAGAACAGGGTCGCGCTTTTACAAAGGAACGTGCTACTTGCACCCCGCGTGGACCTTAATTCTGAAGACCGCCTCCGTGGTGTTGTGGTTAGAGCGTCAGCCCGGAGAGCGGAAGTCGATCCCCGACTGCGTCATACCAAAAGACGTTAAAATATGGTACTTGTTGGTCCCTGCCTGGCGCTCGGCATTAATGGGTACAATAAGGACTGGTCGGCTCGGAGTCAGTCTGAGTGGGGTATTCATGCTTCACTGCGGCATGGTATCTCAGTGGGCTAGCACTATAAAACCAGCTTTTGTCTGGGCTCACACGCATGCACGTCGTCATATGAGCGAAATATTCTCAAGCACGACGTTAAACCCAATTTCAACTCACCTCACCTTAATTCTGAGAGCAGAGAGTTCCAGAACATGGGACAGCAACCTGAAAAGGCGCGATCTGACATCACAGAGGTGGATAGAAGTTGATTTAGTTGGTGATCACATGAACTAGGCCTAGTGAACTGGGCCTAGATTTTCGAAGCTCTCTTTGCGCTAATATAGTCGTAAGTGCCATACATTAACATTAACTTACGACTATCTTAGCGCTAAGAGAGCTTCGAAAATCTAGGCCCTGGAGAGTAAAGGGAGATCAGGTCATTTAGATATGAAGGATAACTGTCATTGAAGAGACAATCATATATCAAAATGTGATAACTTAGTGTAAATTCTATTTTCAGTGCGTGGTCATTTGATTGAACCAGAGAAGGTGAAGGTCACAGTAGGAAACCTCGAGCTGTAAGTAAGGGCCGGATGCTCCGGGTTTAAGAATCAGTTTAAGCGGAGAATAATTCAGGTTCTTTTACAATATACTTTTATATTCTCTAGATTCAGGGAATAACTGTACTGAACGAATTGGGGACGTATGCCGGTGGTTATATAGCCGCAAATTTAGTTATAGTATTTACCAATCAGAAGTCGTGTTACATACTAAGTTGATGTAGAATAATAAATAATCGAGGATGAAATGACGAAAGTGGTTGAAGTAGGTCGGATAGGATCAGTGATGGGGTGAGGCCGCTCTACTGATCTTACAAACACCCCCAACCATCCCACCTCCATTTCACGTAGCATTTTCTCATGCCACCAATCCCCCGAATGATAAATGACCAGTCCCTGAATATATTTCCACTTTATCATTATACTTTGTAAAGTACTTTGGAATGTTTTCATGATACTTTTTCATAACACGAACGTAACACTTCACCCTCCGATCCCCATGTCCCGGAACCCTCCCTAGAATAAGTTACCAGTCCCTAAATATATGTTCTAATTTACTATGCTGTTTACTTGTTCTTTATAATTTTTGAAATCAGTTTTTCATAACACAAACGTAACACTCCACACTCCGATCCTTATGTTGATGTTTTCACCACATTGCAGGGAAGTAAACAGAAATGTTTACGACAAGCTGAATGATTACTATCGCATGCTCGACGTAGACGGAAACGGAACGTACTCGATACAGGCGGCCAAAGCGCACTTCAAGTTTATGGACAAAGACAGTAAGTTGGAAAAGGGCACATTTGCTCTTTTGTACACTGATGGTCTTTTTGTACGTGATATTACAGTAACTGCTAAAAGCAGCGTAAATCCAGATTCACTCACTCACTTTTTGTAATTCCAGAAATCGGTTGAGATGGGTTTGATGTACTTTTTAAGGTTTTAGCATGATGCATATGGGAGGAAATCTTATAATTTTACCCATTTCGTGAAACCTTCAACCGCAGGTATTGTGCTGACAAATAAATATAGCCGAGAATGAATCAGGATTAGAAGTCGCGATCATCGGTTTCTTATCCGACTTACCGACTGGCATCAAGTGGAAAGCATTGTCTTACAATGAAATCTCTTGTTGTCTATGACCTCACAGACACTTTAGTTAGCTAAATCTCTTGTTGTCTATGACCTCACAGACACTTTAGTTAGCTAAATCTCTTGTCGTCTATGACCTCACAGACACTTTAGTTAGCTAAATCTCTTGTCGTCTATGACCTCACAGACACTTTAGTTAGCTAAATCTCTTGTCGTCTATGACCTCACAGACACTTTAGTTAGCTAAATCTCTTGTTGTCTATGACCTCACAGACACGCCTATGACCTCACAGACACTTTAGTTAGCTAAATCTCTTGTTGCCTCTATGAGACCTCACAGACACTTTAGTTAGCTAAATCTCTTGTCGTCTATGACCACAGACACTTTAGTTAGACCTCACAGACACTTTAGTTAGCTAAATCTCTTGTCGTCTATGACCTCACAGACACTTTAGTTAGCTAAATCTCTTGTCGTCTATGACCTCACAGACACTTTAGTTAGCTAAATCTCTTGTCGTCTATGACCTCACAGACACTGTAGTTAGCTAAATCTCTTGTCGTCTATGACTGACTGACTGACTGACTGAGTTTAGTTTTACGCCGCTTTTAGCAATATTCCAGCAATATCACGGCGGGGGACACCAGAAATGGGCTTAACACATTGTGCCCATATGGGGAATCGAACCCGGCTCTTTGGCGTGACGAGCCAACGCTTTAACCACTAGGCTACCCCACCGCCCCTATCGTCTATGACCTCACAGACACTTTAGTTAGCTAAATCTCTTGTCGTCCATGACCTCACCGACACTTTAGTTAGCTAAATCTCTTGTCGTCTATGACCTCACAGACACTTTAGTTAGCTAAATCTCTTGTCGTCTATGACCTCACAGACACTTTAGTTAGCTAAATCTCTTGTCGTCTATGACCTCACAGACACTTTAGTTAGCTAAATCTCTTGATGTCTATGACCTCACAGACACTTTAGTTAGCTAAATCTCTTGTCGTCTATGACCTCACAGACACTTTAGTTAGCTAAATCTCTTGTCGTCCATGACCTCACAGACACTTTAGTTAGCTAAATCTCTTGTCGCCTATGACCTCACAGACACTTTAGTTAGCTAAATCTCTTGTCGTCTATGACCTCACAGACACTTTAGTTAGCTAAATCTCTTGTTGTCTATGACCTCACAGACACTTTAGTTAGCTAAATCTCTTGTCGTCTATGACCTCACAGACACTTTAGTTAGCTAAATCTCTTGTCGTCTATGACCTCACAGACACTTTAGTTAGCTAAATCTCTTGTCGTCTATGACCTCACAGACACTTTAGTTAGCTAAATCTCTTGTCGTCTATGACCTCACAGACACTTTAGTTAGCTAAATCTCTTGTCGTCTATGACCTCACAGACACTTTAGTTAGCTAAATCTCTTGTCGTCTATGACCTCACAGACACTTTAGTTAGCTAAATCTCTTGTCGTCTATGACCTCACAGACACTTTTAGTTAGCTAAATCTCTTGTCGTCTATGACCTCACAGACACTTTAGTTAGCTAAATCTCTTGTCGTCTATGACCTCACAGACACTTTAGTTAGCTAAATCTCTTGTCGTCTATGACCTCACAGACACTTTAGTTAGCTAAATCTCTTGTCGTCCATGACCTCACAGACACTTTAGTTAGCTAAATCTCTTGTCGTCTATGACCTCACAGACACTTTAGTTAGCTAAATCTCTTGTCGTCTATGACCTCACAGACACTTTAGTTAGCTAAATCTCTTGTCGTCTATGACCTCACAGACACTTTAGTTAGCTAAATCTCTTGTCGTCCATGACCTCACAGACACTTTAGTTAGCTAAATCTCTTGTCGTCTATGACCTCACAGACACTTTCGTTAGCTAAATCTCTTGTCGTCTATGACCTCACAGACACTTTTGTTAGCTAAATCTCTTGTCGTCTATGACCTCACAGACACTTTAGTTAGCTAAATCTCTTGATGTCTATGACCTCACAGACACTTTCGTTAGCTAAATCTCTTGTTGTCTATGACCTCACAGACACTTTAGTTAGCTAAATCTCTTGTCGTCTATGACCTCACAGACACTTTAGTTAGCTAAATCTCTTGTCGCCTATGACCTCACAGACACTTTAGTTAGCTAAATCTCTTGTCGTCTATGACCTCACAGACACTTTAGTTAGCTAAATCTCTTGTTGTCTATGACCTCACAGACACTTTAGTTAGCTAAATCTCTTGTCGTCCATGACCTCACAGACACTTTAGTTAGCTAAATCTCTTTTGTCGTCTATGACCTCACAGACACTTTTAGTTAGCTAAATCTCTTGTCGTCTATGACCTCACAGACACTTTAGTTAGCTAAATCTCTTTGTCGTCTATGACCTTACAGACAAATCTCTTGTTGTCTATGACCTCACAGACACTTTAGTTAGCTAAATCTCTTGTCGTCTATGACCTCACAGACACTTTAGTTAGCTAAATCTCTTGTCGTCTATGACCTCACAGACACTTTAGTTAGCTAAATCTCTTGTCGTCTATGACCTCACAGACACTTTAGTTAGCTAAATCTCTTGTCGTCTATGACCTCACAGACACTTTAGTTAGCTAAATCTCTTGTTGTCTATGACTTCACAGACACTTTAGTTAGCTAAATCTCTTGTTATCTATGACCTCACAGACACTTTAGTTGGCTAAATCTCTTGTTGTCTATGATCCCACAGACACTTTAGTCAGCTGTGCCACTTGTTTCTCTTTCATTGAACATGGTTATGTGACCATTGGACTGGCATCAAAGCTCTCGTGAATATATCCCGCGGAATGCCCTTTCTAGGCAGCAACACCAAACATTATCCAGAGAGTCCACGATATGACAGAACTAGTTTAGAAGGCTCAGGATAGAATACATTCCATTGTCACAATTCTGACAATGAAAAATGTATCAACTCTCTCGGACCCAAAGCTTTTGAAATCTGAAAAGATTAGCTCTGTTCGAAGCTGATCGAGAAAGATCTTTGCACCGTTTGTCTTTCTGTGTGAGGCTGCGAAGTCATCTCACTGGTTTAACTCTCCACAGCGAATTGCAACATTATTAATTTTTTGGATATCTGGGTCCCCATAGTGATACAAATTTTATCTGAGCCCCCAACAAATATGGAATAATAAACCCAAGAAACTGCACTCGGTAAAAGTTATGTTAAGGAGTTGCACAATTGGATGAAAGTGTCCTGCCTAACCGTAACATCCGTGCCAGTGTGCGAAATAGGTTCCATATTTTGCTAGCAAGTCGGGCTAGCTATGCCTGAAAGTTGCTAGCCCACAAAATAATTCACTAGCCCGAAATTTGAATGTAGACACGGGTTTCATAATTAAGCTGCTAATATGATGAACATTTTTATCAGGCCATAATCCTGCATGAATTAAAAGTGTATTCTAACTTAACAAGTCGGAGAGAGTGATATATTTACAAAATGACCCCATGAAAATTCACTAGCCAGTCGGGCCAGTGACTGGAGATTTACTGGCCCGACTGGATTTTTAATAGCCACGGGCTAGCGGGCCGGTGGCTGTTTCGCACACTGACCCGTACTGAGGTGGACGATAAGCTGATCTCCTTACATAACAAACATACAGGACATGTTCCAAATACCGTTGCCTTGGAGTTTAGCTGGACTTGTTTTTAACTTTGCGAAAGACTACAATGTATATGCACTTTATAATGACACACATTCTACACAGTTCGTGCATGTGTTTCACGTCATAAATATTTGACCCGTGAAGGTCCGCGTTAGAATATCGATCTTCAGTAACCTATGCTTGTCGTAAGAGGCAACTAACGGGATCGGGTGGTCAGACTCGCTGACTTGGTTGACACATGTCATCGGTTCCCAATTGCGCAGATCGATTCTCATGCTATTGGTCACTGGATTGTCTGGTGCAGACTCGATTATTTACAGACCGCCGTCATATAGCTGGAATATTGCTGAGTACGGCGTAAAACTAAACTCACTCACTCACTCACTCATATATATTTCAAATTGAAGTTATGGTGGTAATTTCAACACAACTTGAAGATGAAATATTGCCGAAATAATAGCGCATTATTCTGTATCCAGGGGATGGAGAAGTAACGTCAAAGGAGGCAAGGGAAGCTACTGGTAGGCAGTACAAGTTTATCTTCGAGGCAGAAGATTTTGATTCAGATGGCGTCATCACATCAAACGACGTCACTGGCGTACACAAAAGAGTGGACATCGACGGTAAGACACATTGATGTTGTGGCTGCAAACATTTGTGAGTTGCTCTGAAACCTCGCATTAATCGTTACAAATGTTGCTTTTCAATGTGCACCTTGGGCACCAACGTTTTCATCTTGTTTTTTGGTTCTCATGTGTGCTTGTATGTTCATTTTACGAGTTTTTACAGTAAATACTTTTGCGAAAGATTTGTTTTTTTGTTTTTACATCTGACGGTTAACTGGGCAATATTCTAGCGGTACTGAAGCAACATATCAGCCACATTCAGACAAAATTCCAGTAATATTCCATGTGTTTTCAGCATTATTCCAGCTTATTTCAAGCTCTGTTCCAGCAGTATGACATACATGTTCCAACTATTCCAGTTTTCGAACCCACACGTAATGCTACTTCCAGCAACATTCCACTAATGGAACCCGTGAAGATCTGGGTTAGAATTGATCTTCAGTAAACCATGCTTGTCGTGAGAGGCGACAAACGGGATCGGGTGGTCAGACTCGCTGACTTGGTTGACACATGTCATCGTATTCCAATTGCGTAGATCGATGCTCATGATGTTGATCACTGAATTAAACTCACTCACGCCACTAATGGATATTTAATGATGCAATTCATACGATATACCCACTTACAATATGCACGTGGCCAGTAGACATTAGGGCATTAATAAAGGTTTTCATTTCTTTGTTCCAGATGATGAATTGGTATCAAAAGATGAATTTATCTTTTACCATGAAATGGTAAGTTATCATGAGGAGAATATACTTGAGTACTTTATTACAAGCTCCAGTAAAATAATGTGTAGAAGATTATACTATAGGTTACACTATTTTTTCCATTTTCATAAGAATGCGTTGTTAGAGCTTATGTGTATGGACGACTCTAGGTGTTCAGGTAAACCTATCAGGTAAAATGAAGTAGTTATTTGACCATTGAACGATATCAAATCATGGATGTACCTTTAAAAGTACTTCCTGTCTACAGTCCATTGTTTTGATTGCGGGAATCCAAGCAGGAATATTTATCGGGATGCTTTAATAAATCCATCAACATAGTGCTTGCCTCTAGCCTAACTGCCCTATCCATTTCCATAAAGGGTATCTTTGACTAAGTACAGCACTTCAAGTATTTTTTTGATGACACTTTATTTTTTCACAAATTGTCCTGAATCTTCCCCCATAGGTAAAGGAAGGGGTTTATGCAAAGTTGAAAAAATCAGTTGTTTTGACAGATTAAGATAATCCTGATGATATTAAGTGGTATCTAAATCATATTTATAGTGTTGTGATCAACTAGTGTTAATGTCAGTATATATTAAAAGAACAGAAAACCTAAATCGGTGTTGGTTTCCAATGCTAAAACCTCTCAAATGCTTCAACATTCCTTGTATATTATCGTGGTAGACTCTTCAAACCAGACCATTTTTTCAATATATTTTCCAGGCTCGTCGGGCGGCGCACGACCGAGGGGCTCTTTAACAGCTCATGCAATTACTGCCACTGCCGTTTACACCTTATGATGTCTATGAGTGTCCATTTCATCTTTGAGAACATCGACACATCTCTGAAGCATTAATGGATGAAACTCGATTTGTTTCTACTTTGGGAGTTTCCATAGTATGTTATTAAATACAATACACCTTCATGTTCATGCAACATTAATTCGGTCTACGAGAAAAGACAAACAAAAGTTCTGCTTGTACAATTTTACTCCCTTATTTACATCATATTATATATCTAGTCATTATTATTCAGCCCCTGGGAATCAACTTATTTACATCAGAGATTATTTTTTCATTTACCGACCCTGGTAAACCTTTTTGTAGCTGTAACGAAATGTTCAAAAGCAGATCATGAGATAAATACTAGTAACCACACAACATATTTTTGTTTACCATTTCTCAAAAACATTAATGATTAATATAGGATTAAACGTGGCATCCTTCTTCACTTGGATTAAGCCCTGTATTGAATATGTCTTAGCTAAAATGAGTTGAAGTGAAGGTCAGTGTTCATTTTCTTGTTGTAAAATACGGTTATGAAATGTTAGTTTATCGGGGCACCTCAACAGGGACGATTGAGTTTAGTTGCATATATATAAATAAGCAAAATGACATTCTCATGCTGCTTATTAAAGGTCAAGGTCGCCGTTGAAGTTGTTATGAAACATGGTTGTGACATTCATTGACAGCTACTGTAGCACTTTCACTTGTGCATTCCTGAGACTTGATAATTGTTGGAACTTCAGATGATGCCTTAATCAAGGATTGGAGAACAAGTATGGCCTGAAAATACCAGGTGTTTTTTCAATACTTTAGAAGCTTTGAGAAAATGGTTACAAGTTCCTTCTGTTTTCCATTCCTTCAAACACCCCCAGTCACATATAATTTCTTTCAATATGGTTTCTTCATATTTTAGTAATTTTGTATGATCTAATCACGTTTCCAGGGCTTTTTATTATATTTACCAGCAAGAGTTTGTCAAGTGGTTATCTTTTCTTTGAGAGGCATTTAAACGGATGACAGTATATGGATGAACATTTTTGTTGCAGTGAGAGCGACGTTTCGATGTAGGTTCTAAATTTTAACACATTTATCAAGCAAGTGATTGGAGCACTTCCCTAAGTGGTTATCTCATTGGCATCAGTTTCTTCCATAGATGGTCAAGCTCGTATATAGCTAAAGACGGTCTTCTAATATTAGTCCGTTCAGTCATAAAGTCTTCATCTACAATTCCCTTCTATTAGGAGAGTTTTAAGCAATTTTCGTAAATGATCTTTGTCAAGGTTTTCATTTTTTCTTATTCAAAAATATAAAATGGACACATTGAGTAAACTAACCAATGTTATTTGTATATAAAGACAATGTAAATGAGGAATGAACATTTAAATGGGATGTCTATCACATCAAGCTAGACCACATTACACCGTGAGAGCAACAGTTACACGTTCCCTACTTGGGTTAATTTCAATTACCCGGTGGGCAAATGTGCCTTAGTGCTGTGGGGTTCTTTGTATTTCCAATGAAAGAAGTTAAAATTTAAAATAAACTTGAAGCAGCGAGTATTTCTGCGGACACAGGCATGAATCAGTTCCGCACCTTTGGACTAAATCTTAAAGAAAGTTGGTTCATGCGTTGTACAGTGTTGAAAAAATAATGTTATGTTAAACTTTTTAAGGGCTTTTTCGTGTGATCTTAATATTGGACTCCTCGGTAGAACGTGTATCTCTCATGTACATTCCATCAACATTTATCAATATTTATCAACATCAGAATTCATACATCATCATGTGTAGATCAACGCCTGGAAACAAACTCATGCCCATCGTATATGCATATACTTGTAAATATGAATGTATTTATGTATTTTATTAATGGTTATTAGGTCATGCAGTATATCCTTTACAGTAGTAGGAATAATAGTGCTGTTCTCGGTCGATTTTGTATTTGGTAGTACTTGAATCTGTACTTTACTGAGAACGTCTAATCTCAAATATAACGTGTTACATTTGACCACTTTCTAAATGGCATTGTGTATTCATAGCCTTCGGCTGCTTGAGGACCCTGTCGGAGTCGTTCCAATTCACATTTGTCAGGGGAGTACACAAAGTCTAGACTAGACTAACAGCGATGGCTGAGTCGGTTAGATCGCTGACTTTGTGTGCTGGCGATTAGGCGACTCAGAGAAGGTGGGTTCGAATCCCGGATGGAATTTCCCCCAACAAAAGCACTATAATCGGTGCTTTACTTTGAAAGCGCAATCCTAAATGAAACATATGTAACTTGCATTTGACCACATTTTGAATGGCATTCTTTATTCACTTTTACAGTTGGCAATAGAATTTGCCATTTCGTTGTATCGTTCAGTTGTCGTTTTCTCTGTCCTTAATGTATGTTCAACCACTTGACACATGGTAATAATAAACTTTGAACGTTGTATCATAAATACGTGTGGGTATTTCCTTGGGACTTCGCCACCAGAAAGACTCTACTGGTTACAGATTTGGATTACATGATTGACCGTTCTATCAAAGTGTTCCTATCTGTGTTGTTTCGAAGTATCTACCTTCAACCCAAAACATCTACATTATATCAGATGGCTCCAGAGAATCACACCACGTGGGCTGAAACGTCACACGATAATGTGCCAAAGCAGTTCTACGGCGGGTACACCGACTGTATGATGAGCGAGCGTTGGTCTATACGACAACCCACCGCTTGTCTCTAAGACGATTTTAATGTGCAGTACATTCATACTCCTAGTAGAGAACATTATGTTGTTTGCAGGAGTTGATCTAGTGCTCAAACGCCAACATATGTCTCTCATTATATGCATGACACTGGTGTTGTTTTATGCCACAATGTTCCAGCAATATGACGGCGGTCTGTAAATAATCGACTCTGGACCTGGCAATCTAGTTATTGAAGCAATCGGGATATTGACATGTGTCAACCAAGTCAGTGAGTCTGACCCCCGATACCAAAAGACTAAGTTTGAAGTCTCCATACACCGAGTTTTATTATAATCCAGGCTCAAATAGAAAAGATGTTTCTACTCGGTTCTGTAAGCAAGCTCAAAGTCCTGATATATTTCTAATATGCCTTCAAGAGCAATGCAGAAATCTAACTGGCACCGCTGCCCAAAATGTAGGTAATTCCACCATAATAATAAGTTAAGTGTGTACACAGATCCGCTAAAGGTTCAACGACCGCCACAGTAAGTGAGTGAGTGAGTGAGTATGGTTTTACAATATAGCAATATTCCAGCAATATCACGGCGGGGTACACCGGAAATGGGCTTCACACAGTGTACCCATGTTGGAAATCGAACCCGTGACGAGCGAACGCTTTAACCATGAGGCTACTCTCATGATGTCTTCACACAGTGTACCCATGTTGAAAATTGAACCCGTGATGAGCGAACGCTTTAACCATGAGGCTACTCTCATGATGTCTTCACACAGTGTACCCATGTTGGGAATCGAACCCGTGACGAGCGAACGCTTTAACCATGAGCCTACCCTCATGATGACTTCACACAGTGTACCCATGTTGGGAATCGAACCCGTGACGAGCGAACGCTTTAACCATTAGGCTACTCTCATGATGTCTTCGCACAGTGTACCCATGCTGGGAATCGAACCGGTTACGAGCGAACGCTTTAACCATTAGGCTACCCTCATGATGTCTTCATACAGTGTACTCATTTTGGGAATCGAACCCGTGACGAGCGAACGCTTTAACCATGAGGCTACTCTCATGATGTCTTCACTCAGTGTACCCATGCTGGGAATCGAACCCGTGACGAGCGAACGCTTTAACCATGAGGCTACTCTCATGATGTCATCACACAGTGTACCCATGTTGGGAATCGAACCTGTGACAAGCGAACGCTTTAACCATGAGGCTACTCTCATGATGTCTTCACACAGTGTACCCATGTTGGGAATCGAACCGGTGATGAGGGAACGCTTTAACCATGAGGGTACCCTCATGATGTCTTCGCACAGTGTACCCATGTTGGGAATCGAACCCGTGACGAGCGAACGCTTTAACCATTAGGCTACTCTCATGATGTCTTCGCACAGTGTACCCATGCTTAGAATCGAACCGGTTACGAGCGAACGCTTTAACCATTAGGCTACCCTCATGATGTCTTCATACAGTGTACTCATTTTGGGAATCGAACCCGTGACGAGCGAACGCTTTAACCATGAGGCTACTCTCATGATGTCTTCACTCAGTGTACCCATGCTGGGAATCGAACCTGTGACGAGCGAACGCTTTAACCATGAGGCTACTCTCATGATGTCATCACACAGTGTACCCATGTTGGGAATCGAACCTGTGACGAGCGAACGCTTTAACCATGAGGCTACTCTCATGATGTCTTCGCACAGTGTACCCATGTTGGGAATCGAACCGGTGATGAGGGAACGCTTTAACCATGAGGGTACCCTCATGATGTCTTCGCACAGTGTACCCATGTTCGGAAACGAGCCCGCCATGAGAGAACGCTTTAACCATGAGGCTACCCTCATGATGTCATCACACAGTGTACCCATTTTGGGAATCGAACCCGTGATGAGCGAACGCTTTAACCATGAGGCTACTCTCATGATGTCTTCACACAGTGTACCCATGTTGGGAATCGAACCTGTGACGAGCGAACGCTTTAACCATGAGGCTACCCTCATGATGTCTTCACACAGTGTACCCATGTTGGGAATCGAACCTGTGACGAGCGAACGCTTTAACCATTAGGCTACCCTCATGATGTCTTCATACAGTGTACCCATGCTGGGAATCGAACCTGTGACGAGCGAACGCTTTAACCATTAGGCTACCATCGTGATGACTTCACACAGTGTACCCATGTTGGGAATCGAACCCGTGACGAGCGAACCCTTCAACCATGGGGCTACTCTCATGATGTCTTCGCACAGTGTACTCATGTTGAAAATTGAACCCATGATGAGCGAACGCTTTAACAATGAGGCTACCCTCATGATGTCTTCACACAGTGTACCTATGCTTGGAATCGAACCGGTGACGAGCGAACGCTTTAACCATGAGGCTACTCTCATGATGTCTTCACACTGTGTACCCATGTTGAAAATTGAACCCGTGATGAGCGAATGCTTTAACCAGGAGGCTACCCTCGTGATGTCTTCACACAGTGTACCCATGTTGGGAATCGAACCCGTGACGAGCGAACGCTTTAACCATGAGCCTACCCTCATGATGACTTCACACAGTGTACCCATGTTGGGAATCGAACCCGTGACGAGCGAACGCTTTAACCATTAGGCTACCCTCATGATGTCTTCACACAGTGTACCCATGTTGGGAATCGAACCCGTGACGAGTCGAACGCTTTAACCATGAGGCTACCCTCATGATGTCTTCATACACAGTGTACCCATGTTGGGAATCGAACCCGTGACGAGCGAACGCTTTAACCATGAGGCTACTCTCATGATGTCTTCACACAGTGTACCCATGTTGGGAATCGAACCTGTGACGAGCGAACGCTTTAACCATGAGGCTACCCTCATGATGTCTTCACACAGTGTACCCATGTTGGGAATCGAACCCGTGATGAGCGAACGCTTTAACCATGAGGCTACTCTCATGATGTCTTCGCACAGTGTACCCATGTTGGGAATCGAACCCGTGATGAGCGAACGCTTTAACCATGAGGCTACCCTCATGATGTCTTCACACAGTGTACCCATGTTTGGAATCGAACCCGTGACGAGCGAACGCTTTAACCATGAGGCTACCCTCATGATGTCTTCACACAGTGTACCCATGTTGGGAATCGAACCCGTGACGAGCGAACGCTTTAACCATGAGGCTACCCTCATGATGTCTTCACACAGTGTACCCATGTTGGGAATCGAACCCGTGACGAGCGAACGCTTTAACCATGAGGCTACCCTCATGATGTCTTCACACAGTGTACCCATGTTGGGAATCGAACCTGTGACGAGCGAACGCTTTAACCATTAGGCTACCCTCATGATGTCTTCATACAGTGTACTCATTTTGGGAATCGAACCCGTGACGATACAAACGCTTTAACCATGAGGCTACTCTCATGATGTCTTCACACAGTGTACCCATGTTGGGAATCGAACCCGTGACGAGCGAACGCTTTAACCATGAGGCTACCCTCATGATGTCATCACACAGTGTACCCATGTTGGGAATCGAACCCGTGATGAGCGAACGCTTTAACCATGAGGCTACTCTCATGATGTCTTCACACAGTGTACCCATGTTGGGAATCGAACCGGTGATGAGGGAACGCTTTAACCATGAGGGTACCCTCATGATGTCTTCACACAGTGTACCCATGTTCGGAAACGAGCCCGCCACGAGAGAACGCTTTAACCATGAGGCTACCCTCATGATGTCATCACACAGTGTACCCATGTTGGGAATCGAACCCGTGACGAGCGAACGCTTTAACCATGAGGCTACTCTCATGATGTCTTTACACAGTGTACCCATGTTGGGTACTGAGGCCGTGATGAGGGAACACTTTAACCATGAGGCTACCCTCATTATGTCAACACACAGTGTACCCATGTTGGGAATCGAACCCGTGACGAGCGAAATCTTCAACCATGGGGCTACTCTCATGATGTCTTCGCACAGTGTACCCATGTTGAAAATTGAACCCATGATGAGCGAATGCTTTAACCATGAGGCTACCCTCATGATGTCTTCACACAGTGTACCCATGTTGGGAATCGAACCTGTGACGAGCGAACGCTTTAACCATGAGGCTACCCTCATGATGTCTTCACACAGTGTACCCATTTTGGGAATCGAACCTGTGACGAGTGAACGCTTTAACCATTAGGTTACCCTCATGATGTCTTCATACATCGTACCCATGCTGGGAATCGAACCTGTGACGAGCAAACGCTTTAACCATTAGGCTACCATCGTGATGTCTTCACACAGTGGACCCATGTTGGTAATCGAACCCGTGACGAGCGAACACTTCAACCATGGGGCTACTCTCATGATGTCTTCGCACAGTGTACTCATGTTGAAAATTGAGCCCATGATGAGCGAACGCTTTAACAATGAGGCTACCCTCATGATGTCTTCACACAGTGTACCTATGCTTGGAATCGAACCGGTGACGAGCGAACGCTTTAACCATGAGGCTACTCTCATGATGTCATCACACAGTGTACCCATTTTGGGAATCGAACCCGTGATGAGCGAACGCTTTAACCAGGAGGCTACCCTCGTGATGTGGACACACAGTGTACCCATGTTGGGAATCGAACCCGTTACGAGTGAACGCTTTAACCATTAGGGTACCTCATGATGTCTAGAGATGTTTGGAAAGTTGCCAATGATCTAATGAGACTTCTCGGTTTAGTTTATACCTTCATTTCTTTATCTTTACACTGACAGTTC